AGGGGCTTAATAACATACATATTTAGGGCCCCACCAAATTCACGACCATGAAAAATCCATCACGGACCATGAAATCTGGTCTCCCCCCATGAAATCTGATCTTTTGTGCCCTTTCTCCTTATACAATACAGATTTCACAGGGGGCAGGGGGGAAACAGCCTTTCTCAAATTGGGGGTCCAGACCCAAAAGGGAGAGTTGGGGGGGGGGGTGTCACGAGATTATTTTAGGGAGGTCATGGTATTGCCACCCTTACTTCTTTGCTGACTTCAGAGCTGGGTGGCTGGAGAGCGGCATCTGTTTGCTGAGGTCAAGCTCTGAAGACAGCACCCCACCAGCAGCAGTGCAGAAGTAAGGGTGGCAATATCAGACCACACCATCCTTACTTCTGCGCTGCTGCTGGCAGCAACTCTGCCTTCAGAGCTGGGCTCCAGCCCAGCAGCCGCTGCTCTCCAGCTGCCCAGCTCTGAAAGCAGCACTGCCGCCAGCAGCGGTGCAGAAGTAAGGGTAGCAGCACCAATAACCCCCTCCAATAACCTTGCAATCCCCCCCCAACTCCTTTTTGGGTCAGGACCCCTACAGTTACAAACCATGAAATTTCAGATTTAAACAGCTGAAATCATGGAATTTACGATTTTTAAAATCCTATGACCATGAAATTGACCAAAATGGACCATGAATTTGGTAGGGCCCTCTATACATATTGTATCAATGACAGCAGCAACAACCCTCTTGATCTTACTTAGCAATAATTTGCTCAATTATCAGCTCAACTGTCATCTTTTTAGCATTCTTCCTTCCTTCACAATTTCTAAACTTCAGGTTTATAAAACATTTTACAGTTGGAGAAAGACCAACACCTTTACAACTGCATAGTGCTGTGATAATAAACTGCATTTAAGATACTATATACTATTAACTATGTAATTGTCAAGCATACATTTATATTACTCCCATTTTAAAATGTATAATTTTAAAATCACCAGTTTAAAACATTTAAAAATTAAATGTTGCTAGTTTTGAGCTTGAGACAACGTAAACTTTTATCAACATTCTGTCTACATAAAATCTACAGAGTGAATACACACGAGCATGTGGCTATATAGATTCCTTAGTACAAACTGACAGGTCACAAATAATTGATGTGTGTGTGTGTGGGTGTGTTCTCTGTCAACTTCCCAGAAATCTATAACTCAGAATCATTCACATACCACAGCAGCTGGACATCTCAACTGAAAACATTTCCATGGATGAGTGAGCCAAGCAAATGAATCACTTTTATGACCACAGAAAAAGGTTGCTCTTGGTCAATGGCTGGATATTAAAATATTAGAAGTCTATGACCTAGTTTATAATTCATCACAGAATTTTAGTTAGCACTACAGATATTAAGGTTATTTGCCTTCTGCTCCTAAAACTGAAATTACTTTAGAGACTTTAGTGAAGAGTGAAAGTGCTTAGTTTAATTATTTGATTAAAATTTTTTACAAGGATTAGAAAATCTTTGAACAATAATTTGTTAAGAATTCAAGATGGACACCACTAAATTAAATATAGAAAATGACAGCTGTTGAAATTACATTATTGCTGCAATTACTTGAAAATTCAGCATAACTTAATTACTAAGCTTCAAATGAACAACAAAAGTTATACTAAAATCTTTGACCCTTCTGCACCAAAAACTCTTGCTGAACTCAAAGGGAGTTTTGATTGTGCAGAGAATACAGGATCAGGCCCAAAAATGAATGAATGAGGGAGGGAGAGAAGGAGGTATCAGCATATAAACAAAAATCAGTGTTTTAGGAATAAAAAATAGAAAGTGAATCATAGATGGTGAGGACTGGCAAATCAGAAGTGGGTACGGTAAACTGTATACAACATTGAGCCCAATCCTATGAGGTGCTGGGATCCTCCTATGAGTCTATGTGAGCTGAAATCATTCAGTCCCTCGCATGTCCAGGTGTGATGTGAGGGGAAATACTTTTATTCAAGTAAATGTTCTCATTTAGAGTTTAAAGGCTATGGGACAAACCCAGAAGGGATGTGGAAAGTAGTGTAAGTTAGACTCCTACACCCTGTAACTTACATCTGTTGATGTTTGGCAGGTAAGAAAATCATAGAATATCAGGGTTGGAAGGGACCCCAGAAGGTCATCTAGTCCAACCCCCTGCTCGAAGCAGGACCAATTCCCAGTTAAATCAGTAAATCCCAGTAAAAGCAGCATGGTCCAGTGATAGGGCATTACACTGGAACTAAGGAGACCCAGATGCCGCTCCAGCCTGTGCCCCGACCTACTGTATGATCCGGAGCAAAATCCTTCAGCTCTCTGTGCCTCCGCTTGTTCTCTTACTCTTTGTCTGTCTTGTCTATTTAGACTAAGTTTGGGTGGCAGGGATTCCTTTTTGTACAGTGCTGAACACAATGGGACCACAATCTTTGGGCCTGATCCAAAGCCCATTGAAATCAATGGAAAGATTCTAAATTACTTCAGTGGACTTTGGATCAGACAGACACTTGGCTGGGGCCTGTAGGCACTACTGTAATATGAATAATATATAATAATGTGTTATTATCTTATTCTCCCTTTGACTCACAGCCACACATAGGGCTAGACTTAACAGCTGGTGTAAATTAGCATAGCTCCATTGTCTCTAACAGAGCTATGCTGATTTACACCAGTGGAAAATCTAGTTCATACGTTTTTTACTTACACACACCTGACACCTCTTATTGAATATAACTCAGTGTAAGGGATTTTAAGATGATTTAATATGTGTGTCAGTGACCTACTTCAATGTATGCTTTCTCACATCCCTCTGCTACATGGTTTTCTTCCTACACTCTTCTCTTCTGACTCCTGAGCATAGTGGTTGCAACAATTTAGACTACCTTATACTAATACTCAGTGAGTCAAATTCAGATGTAAGGTCTACTTTACTTAGCCCTGGTCTACACTAGGAGTTGAGGTCAAATTTAGCAGCGTTAAATCAATTTAACCCTGCACCCGTCCACACGACAAAGCCCTTTTTTTCGACTTAAAGGGCTCTTAAAATAATTTCCTTACTCCACCCCCAACAAGGGGATTAGCGCTGAAATCAGCCTTGCCGGGTCGAATTTGGGGTACTGTGGACGCAATTAGACAGTATTGGCCTCCAGGAGCTATCCCAGAGTGCTCCATTGTGACCGCTCTGGACAGCACTCTCAAGTCAGATGCACAGGCCAGGAAAAGGCCCGCCAACTTTTGAATTTCATTTCCTGTTTGGCCAGCGTGGCAAACTGCTGGTGAGAGCAGAGCTCATCAGCAGAGGTGACCATGCAGAGCTCATCGGCAGAGGTGGCCATGATGGAGTCCCAGAATTGCAAAAGAGCTTCAGCATGGACCGAACGGGAGGTACGGGACCTGATCGCTGTATGGGGAGAGGAATCTGTGCTATCAGAACTATGTTCTAGTTTTCGAAATGCCAAAACATTTGTCAAAATCTCCCAGGGTACGAAGGACAGAGGCCATAACAGGGACCCAAAGCAGTGCCGCATGAAACTTAAGGAGCTGAGGCAAGCCTACCAGAAAACCAGAGAGGCAAATGGCCGCTCCAGGTCAGAGCCCCAAACATGCCGCTTCTATGATGAGCTGCATGCCATTTTAGGTTCAGCCACCACTACCCCAACTGTGTGCTTTTTGACTCCTTCAATGGAGAGGGAGGCAACATGGAAGCAGGTTTGGGGAACAAGGAAAATGATGAGGAGGAGGTTGTAGATAGCTCACAGCAAGCAAGCGGAGAAACCGGTTTCCCCAACAGCCAGGAACTGTCAGGCAGAGAAGGGACCTCTGGTGAGTGTACCTTTTTAAATACTATACATGGTTTAAAAGCAAGCGTGTTCAATGATTAATTTGCCCTGGCATTCGCAGCCAGTACAGCTATTGGAAAAGTCTGTTAACGTGACTGGGGATGGAGCGGAAATCCTCCAGGGACATCTCCATAAAGCTCTCCTGGATGTACTCCCAAAGCCTTTGCAAAAGGTTTCTGGGGAGGTCAGCCTTATTCCATCCACCATGGTAGGACACTTTACCACTCCAGGCCAGTAGCACGTATTCGGGAATCATTGCAGAACAAAGCATTGCAGCATATGTTTGCTGGCATTCAAGCAACATCCGTTCTTTATCTGTCTGTGTTATCCTCAGGAGAGTGATATCATTCATGGTCACCTGGTTGAAATAGGGTGCTTTTCTTATGGGGACATTCAGAGGTGCCCATTCCTGCTTGGCTGTTTGCCTGTGGCTGAACAGAAATGTTCCCTGCTGTTAGCCACGGGGAGGGGTGAGGGGTTAGCCACACGGTGGCGGGAGGCGAAATGCAAACTTGTAACAAGTGCTATGTATGTAAAGTTAACAGCAAGGTGTAAGAGTGTACCCATTGTTCTATAAAATGTGTCTTTTTAAATACCACTGTCCCTTTTTTTTTCCAGCTGCATGTGTTTCAAGGATCACAGGATCTTCTCCTTCCCAGAGGCTAGTGAAGATTACAAGGGGAAAAAAATGCACTCGCGATGAAATGTTCTCTGACCTCATGCTGTCCTCCCACACTGAGAGTGCACAGATGAATGCGTGGAGGCAGACAATGTCAGAGTGCAGGAAACCACAAAATGACCGGGAGGAGAGGTGGTGGGCTGAAGAGAGGGCTGAAGCTGATAGGTGGCGGCAGCATGATGAGAGGAGGCAGGATTCAATGCTGAGGCTGCTGGAGAATCAAATTCCTCTCCAAGTTCCATAGCCTCCTCACCCAGATGCCCAAGAACACGGTGGGGGGGCCTCCGGCCACCCAGCCACTCCACCCCAGAGGAAGGCTGGCATTCAATAAGTTTTAAACTTTTAAAGTGCTGTGTGGCCTTGTCCTTCCCTCCTCCACTACCCCACCCGGTGCTTCCCTCCTCCACCATACCTCCCGGGCTACCTTCGCAGTTAGCCACCTATTTGTGTGATGAATTAATAAAGAATTCATGAATGTGAAGCAACAATGACTTTATTGCCTCTGCAAGCAGTGATCGAAGGGGGGAGGAGAGGGTGGTTAGCTTACAGGGAAGTACAGAGAACCAAGGGGGGGGGGTCATCAAGGAGAAACAAACAGAACTTTCAGACCATAGCATGGCCAGTCATGAAACTGGTTTTCAAAGCTTCTCTGATGCACACCGTGCCCTCCTGTGCTCTTCTAACCACCCTGGTGTCTGGCTGCGCGTAACCAGCAGCCAGGCCATTTGCCTCAACCTCCCACCCTGCCATAAACATCTCCCCCTTACTCTCACAGATATTGTGGAGTGCACAGCAAGCAGTAATAACAGTGGGAATATTGGTTTTGCTGAGGTCTAACCGAGTCAGTAAACTGCGCCAGCACGCTTTTAAACATCCAAATGCACGTACTACCACCATTCTGCACTTGCTCAGCCTGTAGTTGAACAGCTCCTGACCACTGTCCAGGCTGCCTGTGTATGGCTTCATTAAGGGCTAGGCTGGGTCCCCAAGGATAACTATAGGCATTTCAACATCCCCAACGGTTATTTTCTGGTCTGGGAATAAAGTCCCTTCCTGCAGCTTTTGAAACAGACCAGAGTTCCTGAAGATGCGAGCGTCATGTACCTTTCCCGGTACCATCCCCCGTTGATGTTGGTGAAATGTCCCTTGTGACCCACCAGTGCTTGCAGCACCATTGAAAAGTACTCCTTGCGGTTTATGTACTGGCTGCCCTGGTGGTCCAGTCCCAAGATAGGGATATGCGTTCCGTCTATAGCCCCACCACAGTTAGGGAATCCCATTGCAGCAAAGCCCTCCACTATGACCTGCACATTTCCCAGGGTCACTACCCTTGACATCAGCAGATCTTTGATTGTGTTGGCTACTTGCATCACAGCAGCCCCCACAGTAGATTTGCCCACTCCAATTTGATTCCCGACTGACCGGTAGCTGTCTGGTGTTGCAAGCTTCCACAGGGCTATTGCCACTCGCTTCTCAACTGTGGGGGCTGCTCTCATCTTGGTATTCTTGCACCTCAGGGCAGGGGAAAGCAAGTCACAAAGTTCCATGAAAGTGTCCTTACGCATGCGAAAGTTTCGCAGCCACTGGGAATCGTCCCAGACCTGCAACACTATGCGGTCCCACTAGTCTGTGCTTGTTTCCCGAGCCCAGAATCGGCATTCCACCGCATGAACCTGCCCCATTAGCACCATGATGCCCACATTGCCAGGGCCCATGCTTTGAGAGAAGTCTGTGTCCATGTCCTCATCACTCTCGTCACCGCGTTGACGTTGCCTACTCGCCCGGTTTCACTTTGCCAGATTCTGGTGCTGCATATACTGCAGGATAATGCACATGGTGTTTAATTTGCTCCTAATTGCCAAAGTGATCTGAGTGGGCTCCATGCTTGCCGTGGTATTGCGACTGCACAGAAAAAAGATGTGGAACGATTGTCTGCCGTTGCTCTGATGGAGGGAGGGGCGACTGATGACATGGCTTACAGTGTTGGCTTACAGGGAATTAAAATCAACAAGGGGGGTGGCTTTACATCAAGGAGAAACAAAAACAACTGTCACACAGAATGGCCCCCTCAAGGATTGAACTCAAAACCCTGGGTTTAGCAGGCCAATGCTCAACCCATTGAGCTATCCTTCCCCCCGGTATTCCAGGTAGGACTGAATCTCCATTAAACTTTTCAAGGTGCCCCTGACAGACCTCACTGAAACGATTGTCCGCCGTTGATTTCAGAGGGGGAGGGAGAGCAAATGAATACCAAACAAATCTAGTCTATTTCTTGTTTTGATCCACTCCAGCTATCTTTTACATCTTTGGCTGGCAGCAGACGGTGCAGTAGGACTGCTAGCCATCCTCATCTCCTGGCTGCTCGGCAGAAGACGGTGCAATAGGACTGCTGGCAGGACTAAAGAGAATGACCTGGTCGAGTCACTCCTATTTCAGTCCCTGCGCCCATGTCTGCCCATGCACTCCTGACCGACCTTCTCGAGGTGGCCAGGAGCACCTCGGACATGATGATGATGGTTATCAGGCCTATTGCACCATCTGCTGCCACAGGGCAATGAGCTGCTGCTGTGTAGCAATGCAGTACTGCATCTGCCAGCACCCAGGAGATGTAGGGTGACAATGAGCCTAGCGGGCTCCATGCTTGCCGTGGTATGGCATCTGCACAGGTAACTCAGGAAAAAAGACGCGAAATGATTGTCTGCCATTGCTTTCATGGAGGGAGGCAGGGAGGGAGAGAAGGCCTGACGTCATGTACCCAGAACCACCGGCGACAATGTTTTAGCCCTATCAGGCATTGGGATCTCAACCCAGAATTCCAATGGGCGGCGTAGACTGCGGGAATAGTGGGATAGGTACCCACAGTGCAACGCTCTGGAAGTTGAAGCTAGCCTCAGTACTGTGGAAGCACTCCACCGAGTTAATGCACTTAATACACTTAGAGCATTTTTTGTGGTGACACACACAATCGACTATATAAAAACAATTTCTAAAAAAACAACTTCTATAAATTCGACCTAATTTTGTAGTGTAGACATACCCTTAGGGATGTAAGTTAAATATGGGTCTTGTTAAACAAGTCTAAGGGTTTGTCTCCTCAAAGCCACAGTCCAGAATATGGGTAATTTATGCATTGTAGGTAGAGCACTCTAATGTGTTGCACTCTAATTGTCCCATATAGACCCTTGCTGCATGAACTAAAAGGCACCAATGTGGCATTAACATAGTCCCAGGACTACATCATTTTGAAGCAGGTATCTTTTAGTTTGCACCAGTAAGGTCTATATGGGACCATTAGAGCACAACACATAAGAGCACTCTTCAGTTAACAACCCCATAGTCTGGCCTGTAAGGGGTGAATCAAAGTTAAAAGTTTTATCAAAGCTAATGTTAAAAAAATTATATAATACATAGGTTTAGAAAAGAGTGTCTGTACATCTGGGTATAGTGCTTAGATTATCCACAAATACAAAGTTTTTTTTAAAAAAAGTCATTTGATACATAGAGGACATAATCAGCAATAACCCAAATTTAGGTGAATAGATTTAAAATATTATTGTGAATACAGTTTAGATATTAGAATCCAAATACTCGGGTACATCACTCATGAAAGTTGTACAGAGATTTGGTTGTGGAAAGCAAAATATATCAATGAGTAGAGATTGTCCCTCAGTAATTGAGAATTAGGTTGGTTGTCCATTTAGAAAATACAATCCATGAGGAAAGTATGTGTTACTTTCCTGACTGCATTTCTTATTGGCACTCCAGCTCATCCCTCCTGATACTGCCCATGTCCAGTGATGTGTTCTATGTAGATGTCCCTCGACCACCTGATGGCGTCCAACACCCTGAGTTGCTGCATCAGCTGAGCATAGCATTGATTGATTCCGCATTCTCTCAGCACTCGCTCGTTACTGGGGTCCCATGCACCTAAGGCACTGATGATCAGTGCGTGTGTCTGGACCTGGTAACCCTTAGCTATCAAGGTTTCAGCCAGAGGGGCATATTTCTCTACCTTTCAAGCTCGGGCATCTTGGAAGGCCGCGGTCCTATTCTTGAATCGCACTGTGACGTCCACTATGATGATCTTCTTCTGGTCCTCATTGGTGATGAGGATGTCCGGTTGCAGTTGGCTGTCAGTTCCGGGGATGGCGGAATTTACGGCAACCTTCCCCATGGGTGGCAGGATGGTTCTGGCCAGGAGATCTTGGATAGTGTTGTGTCACAACTGCCAAGCTCTTGAATGAGGCTTGCAGCTACACAGGACATGGGCTAGCGTCTCGTTGGCATAGCCGCACTTCCTGCATTGCTTGTCCCGATTCCCATGGCGGACGGCTCCATTCAGTGGAACACAGTTGAGCCAGGCCCTGTGGATGAACCTCCAGTCGGCAAATCAGGTGAAGCTGTCCCTGAGGAGGAAGTGGTTGCTGGCGTCCCACTTGCACATCACCACAAATGCCTTGCCCTGGGTCCAGCTTCTGTTTCAAGTTTTGACCTACATTGGGGAACCAGAGCAAGATGTAGTTATACCAACTCAAACTCCATCTAGACTCACCTTTCAATTTGATTTTTTGTTTCTTTTAACAAACGGTAAATACCTTGTAATTTTAATGCCTGTCACCTGTCCCACCATTTTGAGTCTGAGAACATTTTTCATACAAAAATGCCTGTGACTGTCTGGGCAAATAATGCATTATCCTTCAGATACATTAAGTTGCTTGGACATACATCATTCATCCATACAAAGGTGTAAGAGAAAATAGTTATGATGAAAAACATTTTTGACACCAGTTGTATGGGTATTTTATGAATGTATGCAAAGTATTATGCATTATGGGATCATACGACTGTCATCAAATGCTTTTGCTGTCCACAATTGTCATAAACAGTGTTTGTATGAAAACACTGGCATAAACAGAAAAAGTTATGGCTAATAATCTATACAATAATTTTCTAGTGTCAATTAAAATTCCACATATATGCTACACTGGAAACAAACAGTGATGAAAAATGGTTTTGATAACATATAACTTGACAGGTAAAACATTATTATATTTCATTCCAATATATGCAGCATGTATCTAAATCAATTTAACATTGATAGCCACTCCATTGTTAGATGGGGATTTATTCCCTTGAAATTATAAGAAAAACAAAATATTTCCTTCCCAAACCCCACAGAGGGTTAAGGGAATGCCCTTGAATATTAGCACCATTTAAATTCAATAATAAAGAATATTTACAAGCATTGAAGGAAAGTATTAGCATCATTAATAACTCACATAGCTAAAAATACTAATTACCACATTATTAATGTTAACACTAATGACAATAATTACATATTGAAAACTCCCACCGATTTTACTTACATTTCTCAAATATTTAAACCTTAGAGGGCCCATCTGAAATTTGCATTTATGCCTCCATTGTAATGTATTATTAACATATCACAGTAGACGCACAAGGTGCTTTACAATAAACACAATACTACAAAGAAAGAACAGTATTTCTATAATGAAAAGTTTAGGGCACAAATGGCTATGATAGAATACAAACAAAAAGACAGGAAACATCTAGGCAAATGTAGAAGGTTGTGTTGCCATTGTAACAGGGATGTTTAATCAAATTGAAGGATTTTTTAAAAAATTTTGAAGCTGGAGAAAACGTTTTAGTTTACCTTAATTGGGAGACTGTTCCAGACATAGATGTAACCCTTCTGCCAAGTGGAGCCAGCAGCAACAAGGGCCAGGTTCAGTATCTAGGGGTTCCTTTCCAACAATACAACATAAAACTGGCTCGAACCCCCATCCAGTGACCTGGGACAATTACACACCACCCCCGGATGCCTCTAAGAGACAATACTTCCCCTCTTGCATGCACCGAGTCTGAGTGTAGCAAAAACTTTTAATAAAAGGAGGGAATTAACTCAGCATTAATTTGGGAAAACACCGCAACTAGGGTTCATAAACACAAACCATGAGCAAAAGACCCACCCCCAAGTAAGTTGGGTAGTGTCCTTTTCCCATCAGGGTCTTAAGTCCAGCAACCCAAAAGTCCCTTTAATGTGCCCATCCCTTCTCTGTACCCCACTCACAGTTGTTGTCCTTGGCCAGTGCAGCCCAAGAGTTCAGAGGTTCATCTGCAGAGTTCACCTCCCACCCTGTGCGGAAGGCGGAGGGTGCGGGGGAGGAGGCACCTTACACACCGCACTGCTCGGACACTCGCTTTTCGCCCCAATGGCTGATTGTCACACTTCTGCGGCTCTCTGCTCTGGCCCTCTCCACCAGCTTCTCCGCTGGCTGCTTGCTGCTCCTCTCCACCAGCTGCCCTGCTGACCGCTTGTTGTGCCTCTCTCCACCAGCCACCCACTTGCTGCGCCTCTCTGCCAGCTGCCCAGCTGGCCACTTGCCAAGATGTCTTCAGAGCACTCCCACACACACTTAACACAGCTCTCAGTGATTTCAGCTGTTTGAGGGATCCTCATTGCTGGTGCACACTAGATAGTCTCTCACAATAGAGACACTGTCCAAAAGTAGGTCTAATACTTAGACCTAGGTATCACTGATTTCAGCTCTGCAGCCTGGAACAAGCCTCCCAATTGAGTCTAAAGTAGCTCTTCTATTACACCATGGAGAGTGGAAGGGTCAAATGGTGCCTAGGACCCTTAAACAGGACCCACACCACCAAGTAGAAGTATCTATCCCACTCTCTCTCTTAACTCATTGGGTTTTGGAACCCATGTCCCCTACCTAGCGAGTGCCATTCAGTTGAGGGTGAGTCCCTCCATCGGGGTATGCCAAGTACAGTTCTGCTGCCCTCAGTTCACACAATAAGAATAACAATGCTTTATTACTACTGCCCCAATAACAAGTAGACTGGGGATCCAACACAAGCCACAAGTGATCATTGAGCAAGCAATCCCATCATGCTGAGCACCTAGGCAGGGTGGGTGTGTCCAGCTGAGGATCTGCCCTCAGATGATCTTGATGTGGTGGGGGTGTAAGGAATGGGAGAAAATGGAGACAGAGATAAGAATGGTCATGTGAGTGACAGTAGTGACAGAAAGTTTTGAAGGTGAAGAGGAGCAGCTTGAATTTTGTGAGAAAGAAGAAATGAATTTGGTGCAGGGATTCAAGAATTAGGGAGTTATAGTCAGAACAGTAATAAAGAAAGATGATTGTTGTAGAAAGAAGGAAAAGGAGTAGTGAATTAAAGGAAGAAGCAGGCAATAGGAAATGCAAAACAAAATTTCTGCTATAGTCACATTAGAAAGAATCTTCCATGATCTTCATATTTAAGAAGGAATATTTGAAGAAGCTGAAAAATTAACAACTCATCTGATGCATTAAATTATTTACATTAGGACCAAATCCTGCTCTCTGATGCACACTGCAGTCAATAGCAGTTGTGTTCATGCATTAAGTTGGTCTTTAAAAGCTATATGCAATGCTACCTGACCAGCTAGATATGAGTCTAGAGCAGGGATTCTGAGGACAACTCTTGCTGGTGGCCTCTCTCACAGTTTCCCCTAAAATACTTAATTAGCTTTAGGAAAAACAAAGAAACATGCACAAATACACATCCAAACCATTGTAATTTATTTACTGCTAGCTAGTAAATCTGTTGTGAAAAGTGATATTAGCAAACATACAAGTATCACTTTTCACAGCAGACATATTCAGCCCTGCCAAGCCTGGGGACAAATTAAGCCCTGGATGGGGGATCAGGGAAGGCAGCATGGGGCCGGAGCCTAAAGCCCCACAGCCAGGACCCAAAGGCCCATGGCCCGGGCCCGGGGACAGAGCCAGCCGCCCCGCCACCCCAGGTCTGAAGCCCAAAGCCTGAGCCATGCCACGCCTGGGAAGATGGGGGAACTCACCGGTTGCCTGCTTCTCCAGCGTTGTGCACCAGGTGTCTCCAGAGGGGGGCAGGACCCAACCCCTGCTGGCACCCCAGCAACCAACACCAAGACAGTGCATCCAAGAGCAATAGGGATGGGGAGGGACCACTACTTCCTGCCCTTCCCTCCCCCACCCCCCACCCCCATCACAGCCCAGGAGGCTGTGGCCACAAGAAAAGCCCCTGGTGGCTGCATGAGACCCTGGTAGCCACATTTGAGAAATGCTGGTCTAGAGGTTTTCAAAGAAGCAAGCAGGATTCGGAAGAGGCTGTTTCAGTAAAATTCACATTCATACAGAAAGAGCATTGTGAGTACACTGAATCACTTACCCTGTCTTAATAAAATATCTTTGGCTTATAGAAAACAAGAAAGCTTTTGGAAGCATTGCAAGGAAAAGAATAAGTGCACTCAGCTCCTTAAAAAGCAGTTGTGCAAAAAAGCAGCACCTCAGCAAAAATATCAAAGGAAAATAAGAAAATTCATAGACTCATAGAGTTTAAGGCCAGAAGACACCATTCGATCATATAGTCTGACCTTGTGTATATCACAGGCCATTACATTTCACCCAGTTACTCTTGTATTGAGCCCAGTAAGTTGTGTTTAACTAAAGTATAACACAATTGGAGACTTTAGCACTCACCCCCACCCATTTAGGGATTGCATTAATAAATAAAGGAAACACTGAGTTTGGAACAGCATCTTGTTTATCTCACTTTATTAAAAGGAGAAAAAATTAGTCCTGGTACAAAACTACTAATTAAAGCATTGCTTTTTAAAATATGAGTAAAAAATACAATTTACAAATATGGAACAGTTCCAAACAATGATCTTTGCCCTGGCTTTCTTGAAACATGTTCTTCTGTAACATCTGTAAGACATCAGTTTTGTCCTTGGGTACATGTAAAATCATAAAACCAGTTGAGACATGATTGGCCCATTGTGGATCGAATCCATCTTTTAATACAACACTGAGCTCTTAAACTACGCTTACAGCATTGGTTGCTGGTACCATCAAAATCTTTTTTTTCAGCTTCATCACAACAGAAAACAGATGGCATTGGGTTTGGCTGAGTATGACCCGGTGTGCCTGGAGTAGCCCTCACTGGAAATGCCAAGATCAGGGCAGGCTGGAAAAGGGAGAGCAGATACTCCCAAGACTGGTGAGTAACACTGAAGTTAAACTCTCCAACCAGTCACCGACTGTGCTTCTGATCCCGCACACTGGTTATCAAGAAGCAAAAAGAAATCACACAGCCCCCCTTTATTGCATGCCAGTTCTCTGGCTCGCAATCAGCACCTCGGTCCAGTACAGTGAGAACTTAAGTTATTTTAAAAAAACTCTGCTTGCATATACAAAATATTCTTCTGACCCCAAAGGGTCAGCCATGTTACCAGTTCAGTATAGGCTTGGATCTTACCCAAAATACCATGCTGCCAGCCAATCCTTTTGTATCTAAAACTAAAGGTTTATTATAAAGAAAAAAGAACAGGAACAGACATGTTAAATAGTAAAGCAGCCACATACATACAAAGATTCAAAGTCTATGAGGTTCCTAGCAGTATTGGTGAGTTTGCTGACTTGAAAGTCCCTCTGGAACACATCCACAGCTTGGATAAGTCATTCAGTCCTTAGTTCAGAGCTTCATTTGTAGAAAGGTTACTCCAGAGATAAGAAGCAGGACTGAAGACAAAATGGAGAAGATGCAGCTGCTTTTTATAGTCTTTTGCCATGCAGTTTGTGCTTCCTTTGTTCCAAACACAAGCTGCCCAGCACATGACCAGGAAGCCTTAGAGTTCTGCCTATAGGCATACCCCTGCGTGCCTTGCTGAGTCATAAGGTGTATCCCTTGCCTTCTCTCAGTGGGTCAGTTGTACAGCTGATGGCCCTTGGTGGGCTGTCAAGCTGGCTAGGCAATACTGATGCCAAACTGTCTCGGGGTGTCACAAGTTTGAAATACAGAGATACATACATATCTATAATTTATAATACAAAGGTAATACAAACATATAACCAAGATTTTCATATTTGGCAAATTATAACATTTCTGCAGATACCTTACATGGCATATCTGGCACAACTCATTGCAATTTTACAATATTGATATTCATAATATCCTCAGGTGTCCCCGAGATTTCATACGGTGTCACACTGAGCAAATTGAGATATTTCTGAACTGACAACCATGATCTTTCTGTAAACTGACAGCTGGCTTTCAATAAATGAAGCTGAATAATTAATCCACAGTGGTTGAAACTGGAAACATACACCAAAGAATATCTTGATCTTGCATTCTGTTACATTTGGAGTTATGAGACTGTCACGATTTTGAATAATTTTGTGGCCTTTCTGTTCAAATCTTGATGGAATATTAGACATTGTAAAATCAATTACTTCAAATTAGATATCCTTATAAAATTCCTTTTCTATATTTGTGTAAAAAACTCGGTTCATTTGTCCCCTTATTTGCATTTTCTTGGGAACTTTTCTCTTCCTTGGAAGCACAGGCATTCCAATTATCTCTAATTTTAAACTGTTCCAGTGGATTTGCTCACACAATAACTTGTTGTTGTCATCTGATTCGATGGACTTAAGTGAATTGTCATGTTCATAACAGATTGGGCTTCCATTGCTGAAATGTCCGACTTTTGCAGACTTATGGACAGATTGTCTACCATGATTAGGACTTTTCAAGCTAGTTCAATACCAAAGAGGAAGTTAAATTTTCCCATTTGAGCTGCTATGCCAATTCAAGCTCTCATTTCAGGATCTTTCACTGCATCCTTTGCAACCTCCCAATTTGCAAACAATGCAAGGTAGTTCTCAGAAATTGATGTCAATACTTCTGCACAGAGAGTCCATATTGTTGGATGTCTAATGATGTACTTAACACTTCATAGATTATGCTGAAATATAGCATCTTAGGGTTATCTTTTAATTATTTTCTGTAATTTCATAAACAGTTTCCAGAGCATCTGTTAGGTTTCTATTATGTTGAATAGTGTCCTGGCATACCAAATTCAAAGTATGCCCATAGCAATGAATATATGTAGATCCATGATTCATCCTTTTGCTCTCTGGTTGCTACACCTGATAGTCAGATGTGTTAGTGGCGTCATCATAGCATTTTCTGTGACACTTGTTTAACCTCAGATTTAGATGTAATAATATAACTTCAGTTACTCATATGATTATCTCTGCCAATGTACAGGCTACACTGTACAATCCAATGGACTCTTCATGAACATTCATGTCATCATCCATATATTGCACAAGTCTGTTCTTCCATCTAGCATAATTACATACCACTTTCTGAAAATTTTCTCAGAAATATCCCTCATGATTTTAAGATCTATTATTTCCATTATCTCATTTTGATGTACAGGACTTGTAACTGGCCTA